CAAACAGACAATGTCTGAAACAATTGAGTTAGAAGAAATCTCAGAAAATGAAGTAGCTAGAGGGATTACAACTGATTCTGAAATTGAAGATAAAGAAACAGAAGCCGAATTTGAAGAAGAACTAGAAGCCGAACCTGAATCGGAACCAGAGATAGAATCAAATCCAGAACCAAATCTGGAATCAAGACCTGAATCAAATTCGGATTTTGTTACTCATGAACCTACATTGAGGAGATCTAAAAGAGTCACGAATGCTCCAGATAGGTTAACTCTCTCTCTTCACTATTTACTTCTTACTGATGCTGGAGAACCAGAGCATTTTGTTGAAGCAATGCAGGTGATAGACTCTGATAAGTGGAAGCTAGCCATGAAAGAAGAGATGAATTCTCTTCAAAAGAATAAAACATGGATACTTACGGAGTTACCAAAAGAAAATAAGGCATTGCAGAACAAGTGGGTGTACAGAGTCAAGGAAGAGCATGATGGTAAGAAGAGATACAAAACACGATTAGTAGTAAAAGGCTTTCAGCAGAAGGAAAGAATTGACTACACCGAGATCTTCTCTTCTGTAGTCAAATTAACTACTATCAGGTTGGTGCTAAGTATCGTAGCTGCAGAAAATTTGCATTTGGAGCAGCTAGATGTTAAAACTGCTTTCTTGCATGGTGACCTTGAAGAAGACATCTACATGAAGCAACCTGAAGGTTTTCAAGTTTCTGGTAAAGAAAACCTTGTGTGTAAGTTGAAGAAGAGTTTGTATGGTTTGAAACAAGCTCCCCGACAATGGTACAAGAAATTTGATGGATTCATGCATAAAAATGGTTTCACACGATGTGAGATGGACCATTGCTGTTATATCAAAAATCTTGATGAATCCTATATCATTTTATTGTTGTACGTTGATGATATGCTAATTGCAGGATCTAGCATAAATGAGATCAACTTGGTTAAGCAACAACTGGCGGAGGAGTTTGAAATGAAAGACTTAGGACCAGCTAAGCAAATGCTTGGGATGAGGATTAGCAGAAACAGGTCGGAAGGAACCTTAAAGTTGTCTCAAGAAAAGTACATACAGAAGGTACTAAGCAGGTTCAGTCTTCATGATGCAAAGACCAGAAGCACTCCACCTGGAAGCCATCTAAATCTGCCAAAGGACCAATCACCTAAGACAGATGAAGAAAAGAAGTACATGTCCAAAGTTCCGTATGCTTCAGCAGTAGGAAGTTTGATGTATGATATGGTTTGCACTAGACCTGACATAGCCCATGCAGTTGGAGTTGTCAGTAGATACATGTCAGATCCAGGAAAGGAGCATTGGGAAGGTGTAAAATGTATATTGCGATATCTCAAAGGCACCTCAGATATGACACTTTGTTTTAAAAAGTGCAATATTATCTTACAAGGTTTTGCTGATGCAAATTTAGGTGGCGATCTGGATAGTCGAAAAATTACCACGGGCTACGTGTTCACCTTGGGTGGTACTGCTGTTAGTTGGATGTCCAGACTTCAGAAAAGTGTTGCTCTATCTACCACTGAAGCAGAGTACATGGCAATCTCAGAAGCTGGAAAAGAGATGATTTGGCTCAAGAATTTTCTTAAAGAGCTAGGTAAAGAATATGACAATTGTGAGCTTTTCAGCGATAGCCAGAGTGCAATTCATCTTGCCAAGAATCCAGTGTTTCATGCAAGATCGAAGCATATCCAGTTGAGGTATCATCATATCCGAGACTTGATAAATGAATGAACTCTTTCCCTACAGAAGATACCAGGATCAAAGAACCCGTCAGACATGTTGACCAAAGTTGTCGGTGATGACAAACTGAGGCTGTGCACCGCCTCAGTTAGCCTTCAAGACTGATAGAGTGAAGGCGCCACCAGAGAATAGCAAATCTTTCTTTATTTTCTTTCTTGATGTAACATAGGTTTGAGGGGGAGATTGATAGGACCAAACCTATTGTTGTATGTGAAAGTAGACAAAACAAAAGAAAGAAAAATCAAAAATAGATGAAAATATGATGTAAGCGCTTACATCGACATTCTTGTGATGTAAGCGCTTACCTCAGCATTCTTATGATGTAAGCGCTTACATCGGCATTCTTATGATGTAAGCGCTTACCTCGGCAGGGCATTCAAATACTTATAAATAGGGGTCTACATTTTCATTTGTAGATCATTCCAAAACTTCTTCTTTCTCTCTTCAATTAATAAAGAGTTATTCTTTGTGTGGCTGTGGAGTAGGCAAAAATTACTGAACCACGTAAATCTTGTCTTGTCTTGTCTTGTGCAATTTATTGTTTCTCTCCTAAATATTATTTTCCTTCTATTATGTTAACACGCTTTCTCAATAGTAGAGTCATCTGGATAGAGGATTTCAAATGAATTTTGTACGTGAATATGATTGGCTGTAGGGGTGGTGGAAAATGGCGTGAATACTGTATGTGGCAAAGTTGTGGAAGGGGTGGGTGTAAGGCAATAATTGGGAGTTGAAACAATAAGTGGGGCAGCTGATGCTTTATTGTGTTTTGGACTTTGAAAAGTGGTATTCCTTTGGGACTTAGTATTTGGGTGAGGGATGGTGTCTGTAGGTCAGTAGGTGGATACGAGTGTGAAGATTTTCCATTTGGTTAGAAGAGGGAGGAGAGTGGCTATTGGATGGAGGTGAGGAAGAAGAGGTATGCCTACGACGTGGGTAGGTAACTGTTTACCATGTCGATTGAGATGGTTGTGGGTGGTGGTTCTGCACAGTGTTGGTGGTTGAAGTAAGGGGGTTTGGGGTGGTGGTAGGGGTCGTGGAGTTTGTTTGATTTTGAGATGTACAAGAGGAAAATAAGTGGCCAATACAGCCACAGGTGGAGTACATGGGGATAGAGGATTCATAAGAATTTTTTTGCAGGTGTGTACCAATGAGAATTTCTTTGGGGAGTGGTTTTCCGGTTGGTGCAAGAACACATAAGCGAGCATAGCGTCCTCTACTGGTTATGGCGGTGCAATTGTCTATTTTTAACAGTGCCAATTTGTGTGCCTATTTTTCGGAGAATATCAAGGTCGTAGTATTTGGTAGGGAGTTCTAAAAGTCGAGCCCAGATAGCGGAGAAGTTGTTTGTTTCATCTGTTACTGAGAATTTGGGTTCCCAATTGCGGACAGTAATGTATTGCGAGCCAATAAACCAGGGGCCATTGTGAGGGACTCTGTGATAGTTGTTAAGATGGGTGAATAAGATCAGGAAATAGTCATTGCCAAGATCAATGAGGTTAAATGGTTCAATGGGCTGCCAAATCGTTTGGAGCCTATTTTTGAGGTGGTATCCTAGTTTCCTACCAAGTGATTTGACGATGACAGATTGTGTCCAGTTGTGGTATAGGCGATTTTTATCAGCAATAGAAAATGGGGATGAAATGTGGATGGTTGGAAGGGTTGTCGTTTTCGTCGGAGAGGTCAAGCTGTTGGAATGTGTGATTAATAAATTGGAAGGTGTTGTCAAAGGTGGGAAGGGGTGATGCGGTTAATTTGTCAAGGTAGCTAGTGGATGTAGGTGATGAGTGATGGGAAAATGGAACATCTGGAGTTTGTTCTAATACTGTTTCAAGTGTTATTGGTTGTGAGATTGGAGAGGTGTTTGGGTCGGTATCTGGTATTTGTTGAAGTAGTGTCTCAGGTTGGATTGGTTGTATGGTTTGAGAATCAAATATCTCTGGGTAATTGGTACTGCGATAGAGTAAGTCTGCTTCTTGGTCATTCATTTCTCCGTCAGTTAGTGGTGTTTGACATGGTGAGTTAAGCTATGGCTGTTTGTGTGTTGTAGTTGCAGAAGGTACAAAAAACGTAGGGATCAGAATCATCATTGAGAGGTACAACACAGTTTGTCGAATATGGCTTAGAATGAATTTGTTACTGATAAATTTAATAATGCTGCTTTTATATCTTTAAAAAAATTAACATTATGGGAAAATTAAATGTATGAATATATTATAAAAATAATAAATAAAATAATATTAAGTTATTTTAAGTAATATTATATAGTATATGATATAGAAGGTATGTCATAAACGAGAGAAGTTATAATGTCAAGGGCATCATAGACTTCTCAGGTAAAATTTTATAAAATCTAGTCAAAGTGATTATTGTGATAATAATAAAATAATTTTTGGGTAGCAAAAGAAAGAAAAGTAACTTTTGGATAACGAACATAAAATTGAATGACATTTACATAATAAAGAAGAAGTGATTTTTGAATAATAAACACAAAATTGAATGATCACCCATTAAACTATAAGCATTTTTTACTTAGACACCTTAAACATGTGACACATATTCAAATGTACCTATTATACCCTTAAGTACTAACCAATCAAAACAATTAAATGTTTAATTCACATGCCGAAATGATGAATAAAACGAAGAAACATGATTTTTAGCCCAAATAATTACGTGTTAAAAAGAAGGATTTCGAGCCCAAAACGAAAAAAAAAAGGATTCTGAATTTGTTTTTGCCCATTGGACTGAGGTTGAACAGATATGAATACTGTTATACTGCTCATGTAATCCAAGAGGACTAAAAAGAAAATTGAAGACCATTTTGTCAAAGGCATATGATTCCGGCCAAAGGTAGTGTGCTTCATACATATGAAATGGGAGTAAGTTACTTTCTTTTTTGAATGATAAATTGCATTGTGAACTACCTGAACATTATTAATTAGTCTAATTTTTCATTTGATGACTTTTTCTTGAACTCTCTTCTTGTGCTTTAGGATTATGTTTGTGAAACAAATTGGGGTTGCCGCTTGGTGGCCGGCGGGAGAGAGAAGAGAAAATGTGATGTCTTTTTGAAAGGAAAAAAAGAAGGAATAATATGATTTGGGATCATTCACATGCCTAAGAGAGGTGAGAAACACTCTTTTTGCCATGTCAGCCTAATGTGTTTGACTGAGGTTGAAGTGTCTTATGGATAATGCATTTAGTTGAGGTGTCTAAATGAATAATAGTAGTGACAAAAAAAAAAGTAGTAGTGACAAGCTTAGTCTATCATGTATGTATTTGGACTATTATATATTCGAATTTTACTAGAAGTCTATCATGGAACCTAATGTAGAAAGTGATGAATGATGCTTTTGGTTCACTTGTCTGTTGTCTTTTACTATAGTTTTTGCCAAGAAAGTCATTTCTTTCTCCTTTTTTGTGTTTATAAATTTATACTCCTATATTAGACGATTGCTTGAGCTTTAACAGTGGAAAAGCTGGTCAAGAAGGTGAATATGAGCAAGATGGAATATTGGTGGTTGTTGATCATTCTGTTTTTGGCAAATGGGCAGTGGTGCTGTTTAGGTTGTTGGAAAGAAGAAAGAAGTGCTCTCTTGCAACTCAAAGCAAATATAAACTACATAGGATCAGGTGGTTTTCTGTCGTCATGGATGGCCAACGAAACCTCAGATTGTTGTCGATGGTTGGGAGTTGTTTGCAGCAACAGCACAAGACGAATCACTGAGTTGTCCATTACCGTCAGTGAAAAAGATATGAATGATACTTTGCCGCTATTCAATGCATCTTTGTTTCTTCCCTTCAGAGATATCAGAGCTCTGCTCCTCCCTGGAAATTCTTTCGTTGGATGGGCTGACACTGAAGGTTCCTTGTTGCTATCCTTTCTTCATAATACTAAAATTCAAATGGAGGGAATTGACACTCAGATTTCATATTAGTTTGGGTTTGAGATGTAGTTATTTTTGTCGTTGTTGTTATTGTTATATCTATAGACATGTTTGAATCCCTTGCAGTTCAACATCGGATAAATTAGGATGATCACAATAATTTGAATTGTTGTAATGTTAAGTTCAAAGGTTAAATCCATTTGACTCTTGAGAAGTTAACAATGTTTATATCTAAGTTTCTTGTTAATTTGGTTACAGGTTTCGAGAAACTGAAACAACTGAGANGTTTCCCTCTATTCGCCCCTTTGGACTATTAGTAAATCTGCAAAAGAACACGTGTGTGTGTTTGTGCGTGTGTGTAGCTTATCTATTTCCTCAATATGTTAGGTTTTGAGAGATTGTCAGGGCTAAATAAGCTGGAAATCTTAGATTTGAGCGACAACACACTGAATGATGAAAACGTGCTCTCTGCTCTAGGTAAACTTATAATTACTCTTGAAAAGCCTTCATTAATTTAGTTTGCTGCTTTTTTCCTAGAGACTTCCCAGCATATATAGTTATATATTCTAAATATCTGGATAGAGCTAAATAAATCACGAACAACTTTGAAGAAGCTCGATATAAGGAACAACAAATTTCGAAGCTTCATAACAGATGAAGGTACATATAATTCATTAAGTAGTTTTATTTTACTTAATTGCCTTGCTGTGTAGATATAACATATATTGGTTAAAATACCTTCTATTATATATCAAGTCTTGGTTAAGAATATTTGCCTTGTCTCCACTTTCAAGTCTCTTGTCCCTTGAATATCTTTTGTTAGCAAACAACAACTTTGAAATTCCAATTTCATTTGAGTCATTTGCTAACCACTCAAAACTTAAGTTTGTAATTGCTGACTACAACTCAGTAGCTGTACAAACTTCTTCTAAATTAAGTTGGATCCCGAAGTTTCAATTGGAAGCCTTTTCTATATCCAACTGCTCTAAAATGCCAAGTTTCCTTCATTATCAATATGACTTGAGACTTCTTCGTCTCTCGCAATGCAATATTAGTGGAAACTTTCCAAATTGGCTGTTAGAAAACAATTCTAGACTTGGAGAAGTTTACTTGGGTGGAAATGCATTCACTGGATCTCTTCAGTTGCCATCCCTTCCTAATCTGGAAGCTTTTGATATCTCAAACAACAAGATTCAGGGACAAGTTCCTCCTAACATTGGGTCGATTTTCCCTGATCTCGTGATATCAACAATGTCAAACAATATGCTTGAAGGATTGTTGCCTTCAAGTTTTGCTGACATGAAAAACCTTGAATGCTTGGATTTGTCGTGCAATAAGTTAAATGGAGAGTTGCCGATAGGATTGGCTCGTAGAGGATCCAAGTTATATTTTCTGAGATTGTCGAATAACATGTTGAAAGGGGAAATAATTCCAGCATCAACTTACATCAACAGTTTCAAATACTTATATTTGAGGGGGAACAGCTTCTCGGGCTCAATTCCAAAAGAGTTGTCCACAGCACCCTTACATTCATTAGATTTAAGTTACAATAATTTGTTAGGAAACCTACCATCCTGGCTTGGTCATATCCCCTCCTTAACCCACCTTTCGTTGTTTAGTAACGATCTAAAAGGTCATATTCCACCTGATTATTGTAGACTTGAAGGACTTGAGGTCTTGGATCTCTCCGAAAGTAACCTTGTTGGTTCAATTCCATCATGTTTCAGTGCTTCCCTAAACCTAAAACGTGTCTATTTGAGTCAAAACTTGCTACAAGGGGAATTCCACAAGTTCTCAAATAGCTCAAATTTGAAGGTGTTAGATCTTAGAGATAACAACTTTACTGGTTCAATTCCAAAATGGTTGGGAAGTCTTGAGATAACCACCTTACTCTTGAAAGGAAATCATCTTCAGGGCATCATTCCTACACAATTATGCCATTCAAGTAAACTGAGAATGCTAGATCTTTCTCGTAATAATCTCTCAGGACCTATACCTCATTGCTTGGGGAACATAATGCAACGAGGAACGAGTTCAGATATATACCCCTACACTCCATCATTTAGTTATCCAGGATTTGAGGTGGGGTAGAGATGCCATGGTATTTGTAGAAGATTCAATGGAGAGATCGACGATTTCCTTTCAGAAAAACTATGGATGGGTTGGAGCAGATTTTACAACCAAGTATAATACCTATTCCTATGAAGGTAGCGTTGTTGATTATATGTCTGGAGTTGATCTTTCTTGCAACCAGTTAAGTGGTGAAATACTCTGTAATCTTACCCAAATTCGAGCACTAAACTTGTCACACAACCACATCACTGGTGCAATACCATCAGAGTTCTCAAAACTCCAGAATATTGAAAGTCTGGACCTATCATACAACAACTTAAATGGGACGATTCCCACTCAACTTCTAGAGCTAAGAACTTTAACAGTTTTTAGCGTGGCACACAATAATCTAACAGGTTTGACTCCACAGCGTAAAGGGCAGTTTGCAACTTTTAATGAAAGCAGTTATGATGCGAATCCTTTTCTTTGTGGTCCTCCTTTACACAACAGTTGCATGGAGACTTTACAGATACTGATATCGCCTCTTGTGCCAAACTGCTATGAAGACGAGGATGCTTTTCTGGATATGGAGTCGCTCTATATTTCCTTTCTTGTGTCGTATGCAAATGTGTTGCTCCTGGTGGTTGTAGTCCTCTGCGCAAGCTCCTATTGAAGAAATGTTTGGTTTTCTTTCATTGAGTCTTCTATGTACTCTTGTTACAATTATTTTGCTTCCAATATGTAAACCTTATTGTAAGGTCGATCACTTTAAATACATAATATATAATCCTCAGGTAAATCATACTATATGTTTTGAGTTCTTTATATCTGCCTACCTTCTTGTTTCTTAATACTTGTATGTTGTTTTCGAGTTGCCAGTATCTGTCTTCAACATACATGCCACAATGATTATTAGATTGATAAAGATTGAGAGATTTTGGATAGAGCTCTGAGAAGATGTGTGATAACTGTATGTATATTGCTCCATACAGAAAATTATGACATACAAAATGAAATACACATTTTTTACTTCATTTATATATGCAATAAGTACACTACTGTTTGTTTTAATATTTATTTCCTAGATAAGACATTTTAGCTCGTTTGACACCACTTCTAGTCTGATGAGATCTGTTAACTCACTAGGTTTTCTTACGTCTACCGATTTTAGCCACTAGCAGAAGTGAGGTACTAAAACCTGTATGTAGTTTACATATATTCCATCCTCGTAGAAATTAAATATTCATGCTTTTTTTAAGCGAAAAATACCAGCTATATCCATTTGTAAGTAGTTTATTATAAAAATTGGCCAATTCATAAATATTACTAATATCAACCAATTAGCTATTTGTAGCCAAAAAAAGTTAAATTTTTATTTTCTTTTGAGTGGGTGTTCTTAGAATAGATTGGGTACATCTTAAGGAGCTTGAATCTTAGTTTTAAGATGATGTGGTGGAGTTTTGAGGTGGTTTAAATTGAAATTTCGAATAAGAAGATGAACAGGAAAACAAAAATATGTGTATCACACTGTGTATCATTTGTGTATCACATATGTATCATATTTGTATCAAATGTGTATCACATGTATATCCATGTATACCTTTACATGCGTGATACATGTTTGATAGATGTGTCGCAGATAAATTTTTTGAACTCGTTTTTAACTACTAATTTGGATACTAATTCAGTCCAAATCACCTCCAATCTTTCTCAAATTTTATATATTGGCTCATCTATGTGTTTTCAGTGAATCTCAACCATACCAATTGAAATAAGTCCTTTTTTTCTTAGATTTTTGAAATTATATATATATTGTATTTCATCACCTTATTTGCTACTTCATTCATGAAATTTCCTTTCCGTCTTACATCTAATATTGCTAATCACGCTTAAAAATATAGAAGGAGATCTTTGTATGTGATTTTTGGAGAGAAAGAACCTTATTTCTTTGGGTTTTCAATTTTTATATTGCTTGGCTAGTTTTGATAAGTCTACGACTAATGGCTAGAGGTTGGTAAGTTGAGACTTTTTTGGGATATTTCTGTAAGATTCATTTTTTTAAGAGGAGAAAATGATTTTTTTTTTTCCTTATGTTTTTCTCCGTTAGTCCATTTGAAATAGATTTGTAAAGAGAAATTTTCATAAAGTACTATCTTTTAGTAGTAATTAGCCATCTACAAATACCATTTGCTATATTACGGATTATAGATATCTTTTCTATGGTTATAAGATGTATTTGATGTATTTAAGCTATTGTATTCATGAATACAGTAGCAAAAATAGGTGTGAATCAGGGAAGTCCAACTAATCAGTTGTTGTATTCGAGTGTATTCGACTGTATTCACGGCGTGAAATAGGGGATTACATTGTTTTTAAAACGGAAAGTGAATCAATTAACATAATAGACTCCTAATATAACTCAACAAACTCAATTATAACACATAAATTTTGTATTTTCAGTTATAAAGAAGATTCTCAACCGAAAATACCCCAAAAATATAGCAATCTTCAGAGAAATTATATAATACATCCGAATACATAAATTATATTAATTAAAAAAAATATATGAATACATTCATGGCGTATAACGAGATAGAGAATACAATGAAATACATAGAATACAGTGGGATACATTGAAATACAATGAGAAAAAAAACAGTGAATATAATAAAATACATGGAATACAATGAGATAGATTGAATTACAATGGGAAAAAAGACAATGAATACAATGAAATACATGAAAATACATCGTGATACGTTGAAAAACATTAAAATATATTAACAGAAAATCAAGTTGCTCAGCCCTAAACTCTATCGTCTTTGTTCAAGAACAAACCCTAATTTCCGGCGAATTCGCCGTCGAGCAAAAATCCTAAATCTCATTGTTCACACGCCGCCATCGATCGGAGGCCTAACTTAATCCGTTCTTTAGCTTCCTTTGACACATAAAAGACATGACTTTTAGTAGATTGAGATTTTGTTTGTGAGTTTGAGTTTGGATGCTTGACATCCAAGATTCCTATGATTACACGGAAATCAAAGATTGTCTTTGCAGGAACCAAGACATTAGCTCCCCGTTTCAGCTTTCTATTTCTCGAGTGAAAGACTTTCTGGAGAACCATCGGCTTTCAGCTTTGCAACTGAAGGGTTTAAGTTTTAATATTGGCGATGGTGGGTGAAGGAATTGGAGAGCTCTTTATGAGAAATTTGAGGTAAAAGTTGTATCAAAGTAGAGAGAGAAAGAAAATATTGTAACTGAATAGCGTATTTAGTGGCTTAGGAGTAGGATGCAACCAAAATTAAATATTTTGCTATAAACATTAAAAGGTATCTATAGAATATAATTTCTTTTAAATGATATTTATTTAAAATAAATAAGGTGTTAACCTTTACTATAGGAGGTAAAAATTTCAATTTGTAAATGTCCATTACAGGGCCGAAGGATGTAACAAATCATATTTGGCTCTATCTGGTCCAGCCCAATATCTGATAGTTCTACTGGCCTAAGAGGTGTTTGACATTGCGCCATTGTCCAAGGTGATTAGATAGCCACTCTAAAGGACTGCTATTTAGGAATTAGCTAGTGCATCTGAAGTTTAATTTTCTAGTTCAATTTATCGGGAAAAAAATATTTTGAATTGTCCTGAAGTTAAGTTTTTTAGTTCAATATTTCAGGACAAATAAATGCTGAGTAATCTTTAAATAACATCCCTAAGAATGGTTGTGTGCGCACCTCCCCTGAGGCGAGTATTCCTTGAATTTAGTAAGGTGACTCTAATTTATTTTTTAATCCAGTGATAATCATAAAATTCAACTGAATCATTTAATTTCTACTTAGTTTTTAATTGATAGATGTTGGATATTAGCCGAGATGTAGTTCAAACTTTATCTGCAAAAATTAGGGATGAGATTTTTTTTTAATGAATACTCTGTCAATATTGTAGACAATAAATTTGCATCGAGAAAATAAAATCAAGACCGAAAATTATCGCAACAATCGTACTATTTGATTTCAAATAATATGAATGTACAGTCTCTATGAATCCTCTGATTCTTCTTTTAAATAGTAAATAAATTCAAGAGTCTTTGAACTTGATCTTGAAAATATAGTTGTTGTCACGAACAATAATCTTGTTCCTGAGCTTTAGCTTGATTGCTTGAACTTGACCTTGAGTTGTTCTTCGTTTTTGAGCTTGAGCTTGATTGCTTGAAGCTTGAAACTTGTAGAGAATTTTGCGGCCTTTGATCCACGAGCTCTCTCTTGCTTCTTGTTATAACTTCTGGTGTCTTTTCTGAGTTGTGAAGACCCCTATTTATAGTTGTAGAATNCTCTCATTTTATTTTATTTTTCCCAGCTGGGGCTTGGAGTGTTACCGATATGACTCTCTCTGCTTGGGATTCTTTCGGCTATCAATTCATTTCCAGCTTATGATCCTCTGCTCTGCTAGGGATCAGAGTGTTATTCCCGACCTCCGNCAATCAAATTGAAGTGTGACATGACCGCATTTGATTGGCCAGAACATGTCACTTGCACACGTGGTGTGATTTCATTAGTCTTTGAATGTGACTTGGCATGCCTTGCCATTTTGTCACGTGACATGGTCCTATTGGCTCTTCCATTTGACGTGGTGTGCCACGTCATTTGACACGTGGCACCAAACTGGGCCTCTAGAAAGATGACATCTTAGGTTTAACGAAGTGGGCTCATCACTTGCAGCCCAATTAAATGGGCTAGCCCAATGGATTAAGACTTATTTATTTAATCCATATATGTTGGATTTATATAATAATGAGATTTTTTCCTAACTATACCTTATTACCATAAATGTGCATAGTTTGTTAATTACCCGCCCAGTCCACACTTTAACTACAATTTATATACCATTCGACTATAAGGCATTAAAAAGACAGAATATTCCCTAAAAATGCGCTAAAATTAAGGAGAGAATCTTGGTGTTAATTGATTCTACATTAAATTCAATTTTTAAAAAGGGAAAGGAGATTTCTCATCTGCGTATTTTTCTCCAGAACTACAATTCAAATTCTCGAAAAAAAAAAGAATGAACAATTCAAATTTTCGAGTTTCAACAACTCAAAGTTGAAAAAATCTGTTCTTCCATATATTTTCCACCATTGATAGCCATTAAAAAGCTTGAAAGCTTTGAATTCAAATTTGGGTTTTCAAAAATCATTATTTGTTTGGATTGGGTGTTGTTGTAAATAATTTGGAATATGTTTAGGAGTTTATATCTCAATTTTGAGGGGTTTTGGTGAAGATTAGACTTGGTTTTGACTGAATTTCAGATTGAAACTCGAAGAAGAAGAAGAAGAAGAAGAAGAAGAAGACATATTTCCAGAAATTGTAGATAAATTGTAGAATTGTAGATCAATTGTAGATAAATTGTAGATAAATTGTAGATTGGGAAGACTAAAACTTCTACAAATCTTCTACAATTATGTCGAAAATGCCAATTATGCTACAATTGAAATGAGAATTGGGATATTAAAATTCAATGTATCCAATTTGTAGATATCTTGTAGATAAAATTTCTACAAATAAACTACAAATCAGTTTAAGTATTGTATAAAGTTTTATTGTTTTTAAGGGTATCTACAAAATTACTATATTTATACTACAATTAAACTACAATCTTATTTGAAAAAAAATGTTAGTGTAGGTACCTTCTTTTCTCTTTGGTAGGGTGGGTAGATGAGGGTGGGGGTGAATAAGCAATGAAAATCACAGGTTAGTGTAATTAGTATGAGTAATTTCAAAATACTCTTTG